CTACATCTCTTGCTTGTCTTTAATGACACACACTGCAACACTTGATGGCATCATCACTAACCTGACCGGTACAATCCAGTCGTTAGAGTCATGTGACCAATTGAATGAAGGCGGGATACATGTATTATTACATGTTTATTGGACGATGGTATCACTACTATACACAGCAGTTACTATCCTTGGTTAGTTTGTGTGTGCTAGGATCAATATTGTATCATGTGCTGTTTATATTTTTCTATTAAACTACATAATGTACATCCATATGCATGTGCTTTCTTGTTCAGTTAATTCCAATTAATGCCCTTTCTTCAGCTTGTACTACATGTACATGCATGTATTGTGTTTGTGGAGTGTTATGGTACTACGGTTTAAGATGTCCCCTCATGTTTGAGTTATTTACATCTTGCTATAATAGGAGCACCTTGTCTAATGAATAGGATCCTTTCTCCTACACATAACAGTTGTGATATTGTTAGCATAAATGTATGTTATCCGCCTAATATATTTGTTGGGTATTGTTTATTGTTTTTGTTGTTTTTATGTAGGTGATAAATATGTCTCCATGTTCAATGAAGAATGTAATAGAATTATCAAGTACTTACTAAAGCAAAGAGAAGATACCTTTGATACTGTAAGTTCTTTATCAAAATGATTAAAAGCACCATTACATTTCCTGTTGCTCATGTCTAATTATAGTTTATGTACATGTACATACATGTAAGTATATAATTACATGTACATGTACATAACAAAAATTAGCAAAGCTTTTGGGCCACAAAGATTCCACAAATGTATATAGGCCTATATAGTACTTTAATTGTTAATGAAATAACTAATGTTCTTTATGATTATATTCAGTATACTGTAGTCACTCCAATTTTGTTCCATAGGCTAGTGTATTCAAGAATGGTGTACCATCACTATACCCTTGTTCCTGTTTCCTGGAGGTGTGGTTACTGGTCGCCAAGGCAACAGATAAGATTTCCAGCACCAACAGAACTCCAGTTAGTGTGTACATGTACATGTATTATGTACCGTACATAGCATTTACCAGCCAAGGTTAAATTATAAATTAATTACTTTAATTACTACTGCTATTACTAGAATTGCTGGAATGAAGGAAAATTATTATTTTACATGCTGCACAATAAATTGATATTTTGATTTCAAGTTTTCACATTCCAATTCTCTTTTGAGTCATTTTTAGAGCTGCTATACCAGTGTATCTCAAGTACTGGATCGATTGGTTTCAATTGGTGGGTGTTGGTTCAGTGCAGTGCTCTATATACAGTAATGATGGAGTCTGGAATGATGATTATAAAATTAATGGACAATGAACTATAATTAAGGACATTATTAATAAAACATTTAAGTCAAATGAAGTAAGTAAATTCTTTAAAAAGAGTTGTATAGCCTCTTCTATCAT